CACAGAGGGAAGCCGACCGAGACTTCTGGTCCGTGTTAGAGGAAGATGAGGATGGCATTTGTAAGGCCCTCAGTTACTTAGGGTCATAACTTAAAAAAAGTTCAGTGCTGCCCAATAGCCTGATTCAGATCTGTAAGCAGATGGGAGATGAGAATTCAGAGTCTGACCAACCTTGCTACCCATCCAACTCGTCTGGTTTGGTCAGCTCCCAGTATGGAGGCACCATGTGCCCGGCACTTGGCTAAGAACCTCATTGCGTTATCCACAGGCAGCGCCTCATTTATTCTGCATCACATCGGCCATCTCAGGAACAGTGTCATCAGCCCCGTTTTCCAGACAAAGAAACCTTGTTTCTTTCTCAACGACTTGGAGAGGTGACTTTGAAGTATTTTAACCCAAACAGTCTGACTACAGAGCTCACCCTTTTAACCACCGTGTGTATGATTAGACCGGTCACATCATTTTGAAGTATAAAGAAGGATGTATAAACTGTATAGGGGACCCACCCTGCTTGGGTGGAGAAGAAGAGGCAAGGCAGAGGGAGGATGGAGAAACTGCACCATGCTTACCTGCTCTGAATCCCAGGGATGACCGTGGCATGTAAGGGCAGGTGCTGAGAGCCCCTCCTTACCCTGTTCTGTGTGAGGAGAGAGGTGCACCAGCTTCCTGTGGATTTCTGTACACCTTTGGGGTCCAAGAGGGGCTTCCTGCTGGCAGGCAGGCAGCTGCAAAACCATGTTTGGTTTGACTCTGCATGTGAACGAAGGTCAGGCTCTGACTTTTCTCTTTGGTCTGGAGTGCAGTGGGCTTCTAGGTAGTTTGCAAAGAGCAGATAGTTTATCTGATCCTGCCTGCCACCTGGAAGGTCTTTGACAAAGGAATTGAACCCTGTCCCTGTGAAGTCACATGGGATAATAATAAACATGTGACAGGCCTGGAGCACAGGGTGCTATGTCATCTATTTGGAAGGGTGTTTTAGTAGTAAATAGCTGGAAAAATTGAAAGGGGGTGACTTATAGTTTTAAAACTACAAAGTATTTATTTTTCTATTGCATGGGATCATGTTCTGTACCCTAATTGTCAACCACTTTCAAGTATTTTCTGTGAATTTCAGATAGTATCAAAAGAAGCAGTCCGATTTGTGGGGTATTTCCTGATTGGTTGATTGTTCATCTGTTGAGTGACTGTTTACTGAGCATCTTCTATGGGCCAGGTACCATGTCAGCATGGGACGGTGCAGGCATGAACAGGACAGGTGTGGTCCTCGGTGAGTTTGCACATAAATAAATCACTTAATAAGATAGTTTCAGACACTGGAAGGCACTGAGGTAAATGGTGAGAGGAAGTAACTCCTCAGTGGGCTTTGCTTTTTTTTTTAAAAACAGCTTCATTGATACACACACACACACACACACACACACACTTGACTCATTTAAAGTGTAAAATTCAGTGTGTGCATGTGTTTGTGTAGTAAATCACTGGGTTTCGGTGCATCCATCACCAGATTCTAATTTTAGAACATTTATGTCCCCCCATCAAAAGAAACCTCATACTCATTAGCAGTCCCTCTCCTTCCCTCTCCCATTCCCTCTTTCTTAGCCACTAATCTACTTTCTGTCCCTATAAATTTGCCTATCCTGGACATTTCCAATAAATAGAAGATACAATAAGTGGTCTTTGTGACTGGCTTCTTTCACTTAGCATAATTTTATTAAGATTCATCCATGTTGTAGCAGGTGTCAGGATTTCATTTCTTTTTATTGTCAGGCAATATTCTGTTGTATGGGCATGCCACGTTTTATTTATTTGTTCCTGGACATTTGAGTTATTTCCACCTATTGATTCTTATGAATAATGCTGCTGTGAACGTTTGTGTACAAATCATATGGATGTATGTTTTCATTTCTCTTGGGTATATGCCTAGGAATAGAATTGCTGGGTCGTCCAGTAACTGTGTTTGACCTTGTGAGGAACTGCCAGATATTTTCCACAGCCGCTGCACTATTTTACATTTTAGCAGCAGTGTAGGAGGGTTCCAGTTCCCCAACCATCAGCAACACTTGGTTATTACGTGTCTTTTTTATTATAAATAGTGGGTTTGAAGTAATAACTTATGTTGGTTTTGGCATTTCCCTGATGACTAATGATGTTGAGCATCTTTTCATATGTTTATAGCTCATTTGTGTATCTTATTTGGAGAAATGCTTATTGAAATCCTTTGGTCATTTTTAATTGGATTGTCTTTTGTTGTTGAATTATAAGAGTTGCTTATGTTTTCTGTATGCAGATCCTTATCAGGTGTATGACTTGCAAATATTTTCTCCCATTCTTAGTTTGTCTTTTCATTTTCTTGGTGGTATCATTTGCAGCACAGACATTTTAATTGATATATAATATCATGTTAGTTTCAGATGTACAACTTGATGATTTGATATTTGTAGGTATTGCAAAATGATGACCACAGTAAGTCTAGTTTAAAGTTTTACATTTTGATGAAGTTCAATTCATCTGATTTTTCCGTTGTCACTGGTGCTTTTGGCATTCTAAGAAACCATTACCAAACCAAGGTCACAAAAATTTTATCCCTATGTTTTGTTCTAAAAGTTTATAGTTTTAACTCTTACATTCAGGTCTTTGATCCATTTTGAATTAATTTTTGCATGTGGTGTGAGGTAAGGGCCCAGGTTCACTCTCATTCTTTTGTATGTGAAATATCCAGTCATGCCAGCACTATCTGTTGAAAAGAAATTCATTCCTCCATTGAATGGCCTGACATCCTTGTTAAGAGTTGATTGGCCAGGGACGCCTGGGTGACTCAGTTGGTTAGGTGTCTGCCTTTGGCTCAGGTCATGATCCCAGGGTCCTGGGATCGAGTCCTGCCTTGGGCTCCTTGCTCAGTGGGGAACCTGCTTCTCCCGCTGCCTGCTCTGCCTGCTGCTCCCCCTGCTTGTGATCTTTCTGACAAATAAATAAATAAAATCTTCAAAAAAAACATTGGCCATAGACACATGGCCAATTTATTCTGGACTCTCAATTCCATTCCATTGTTCTGTATGCCTATCCTTATGCCAGTACCATGCTGTCTTGACTACTGTAACTTCTTAATAGTAAGTTTTTTGTTTGTTTGTTTTTTGTTTTTTTAAGATTTTATTTATTTGAGAGAGAGAAGAAGAAAGAGAGAGAGCATGAGAGGGGGGAGGGTAGAGGGAGAAGCAGGCTCCCCACTGGACAAGGAGCCCGATGCGGGACTCGATCCCGGGACTCCAGGATCATGACCTGAGCCAAAGGCAGTCGCTTAACCAACTGAGCCACCCAGGCGCCCCTTAATAGTAAGTTTTAAAGTCAGGAAGCATGAGTCTTCTAATTTTATTCTTATTTTCCACATTGTTTTGGCTATTCTGTGTCCCTTATATTTCCATGCTTATTTTAGGATTAGATTATCAATTTCTGCAAAAAAGCCAGCTGGGATTCTCATAGGGATTACATTGAATCTGTAGATCAGTTTGGGGACTATTGACATTTTAATACTATTAATCTTGATTCATGAACATGGTATGCCTTTGCATTTATTTAGATTGTCTCAATTTCTTTCAACAATGCTTTGTAGTTTTTAGTATATCTCTTGCACTTTTTGTGTTAAATTTATGCCTAATTATTTTATTCTTTTTGATGATATTGTCAGTCGAAGCTTTTTGTTTGTTTTTGTTTTGTTTTTATTGAAGTGTAGTTGATATGCAATGTTTTACTAGTTTCAGGTGTACAACATAGTAAGTGTTAGGCTGTGCTCACCATCAGTGTAGCTTCCATCTGTCACCGTACAGCGCTATTACAGTACCATTGACTGTATTCCCTATGCTGTGCTTTTAATTCCAATGGCTTATTCATTCCATAACTGGAAGCCTGTGTCTCCCACTCACTCCCTATCCCCCATTTTGCCCATCTTCTCATCCCCCTTCCCTCTGGCAACCACCATCAGTTCCCTGTAGTGTAAATGGAAGTTTGTTGTTGTTGTTGTTGTTGTTTTAAGATCTTATTTATTTATTTTAGAGAGAGGGAGGGAGAAAGAGAATCCCAAGCAGACTCTGTGCTGAGCACTGAGCCCTACACAGAGCTCTGTCTCACGACCCTGAGATCATGACCAGAGCCAAAATCAAGGGTTGGACACTTAACCAACTGAGCCACCCAGGTGCCCTAAATGAAAGCTTGTTAAAATTTCATTTTGGAACATTCATTTCTGTATAGAAATCCAACAGAGTTTTGTATATTGATCTTGTATCCTGTGACTTTACTGAATTGGTTTATTAGTGCTAATAGTTTTTTAGTGAATTGCTTGGGATTTTCCATATACAAGTTCACCTACAAACAGAGTTTTATGTCTTCCTTCCCAGGCCAGACGACTTTGTTAGGGTATTGGAGTTTAGTATTGAATAGGAATGGTGAGATCGGACATGCTGGGCTTGTTCCTGATCTTGGAGAGAAACCATCCAGTCTTGCACTGTGTTCCGGAGGATTTTGAACACTTTAGTGCTATTTCAGTCTCCCGTGCCAACTCTGAGGCCTTGCCCATGATGCTTGTTGCTGTCCCCTAAATGAACAAAAATGAGGAGGTTGATTCAAAAGGGCCTTCCTTTCCAGTTCATACGTCCTACACTTCTGTGATTCTGCTTTGATGTTCTTGCTTCTTAGCCAGTTCCCTCAGACTTCAGTTAGCTCACCATACAGACTCTATACAGAGGACTGGAAATATTTGCAAATTCTTTTTCCATAGCCATTTTGACTGCCTTTGACTTCCACAATTCTGAACAACCTAATTTAGGTGGAAACTGCAGGAATTAAAACATGTAAGCAGAAGCGTTTCAATAGATCCATCTTTCCTTTCCTTTGTAACTAAACAGCCAGGGAAGATTTGTTCAGGGAGGATACTCATTTTCACAAAAGGTCAGCGGAGTGCGGCTCCTTCCCGCCCCGCTTCTAACCATTAGGACGCTCCTTGTTTCCAGACTCTCAGCGCTCCCATCTCTCCTCCTTCACCATGAAGCTGATGGACAAATTCCACTCGCCCAAAATCAAGAGGACGCCGTCAAAGAAGGGAAAACCAGCTGAGGTGTCTGTGAAAAATCCGGAGAAGCCTGTGAGCAAAGTAAGCCAACTCTCTCTAGGTGTTCCTCCTGGCCTTCGCCTACTTCAGGCAGTATGAGTTTGTGCTGTTTTTAAGTTCATTCCCTGGGGATTCAGCTTTCAGTGCAGAACACCTACTCCATAGCATTCCATGCTTCCAGGCAGGGGCCTTCAGCGTCCTTGTGAAATATGAGCCTTTAGGATGGTGAGTGTTTCTCCTGTTAATCAGAGTCGAGTTCATTCGGCTAGAACAGTTCTCCTTTTCCAGATGTGTCATCCTCTGGGCATGTAAAACAGCTCAGTGCACCATGTTCATACCCCACCATGCTGCCTCCCTGCCCCAGACAGCCCCGTGTTGCCCTGGCATGCACACACGTAGAGGGAGGTTTGTGACGTCCAGAACATCCTTCATTTGGCTTTAGGGCCCATGCTCTGAGACATGCCAAATCCTTGAAACCCGGCCAAGGATGTCCTCAAGCACGAGTAACCTCAGCAGGGCCAGTCAAACCAGATATGTTGAAACGGCAGCAGATACTCACCAGCCCCTCCCTTCAGCCTCGAACGGCCATTCCAAGCTCTGTAGGAATCCAGGTTTCCTCTCTTCCAGGAGGCAACAGACAGATTTCTACCAGAGGGCTGCCCCCTCCCCTTGGATCTGGAGCAGCAGACAGTAGAGTTTATGTCCACCAGTGCTGTGGCTTCCAGGTCTCAGAGGCAGAAGGTCAGTGTGACGCTAAGAACAATTGGGTTTGCCTTGCCTTCTACTGCAGAATCCTGGGCCATGGTTTTGGGGATGGAAAGAAAAATCTATTACAATATCCTTGTGTTCAGTTGGGTGGCGACTGTGGGTTTCACTCTTCAGGAAACAGTCCAAGGGGCCTTGGGTAAAATTAAGAGTTTATCCAAGCCTCTGTGGTCTTTGGAGAGGGCGCACACTCCCTGACGGAAGCTTGGGGGTCCTTTCTGGGGTTGGTTTGGGTGTGCCACTTGGGTTGAGTGGGTTCTGGGGGAAGTGGGTGAGTCTCATCTCCCAAGACCGGCTCTTCGTTCCTTGAGTTGCTCAGGCGATCTGAAGAGTTAGGACAGGGAGGAGCGTCTGCAGTAAAAGGTGCTGTGTTAGACATCTGGCAGTATTCAGTGTGGTGAGAGCGCACAGAACCAAGTACTCAGAACCAGGGACACCTTTTGTGCTGCTAACATTTATCCAGACTTTCCTTAGCCTCGTGCGTGCTCAGTGCTTTGCGCTTACTTACTCTCTTACTGAACACTCGTAACAGCCCTGGGAGGTGGAAACTTATTTTGCAGAAGCGGAAACTGAGGCTGTAGAGGTAGGAAGCATTAGCCACCATCACGCAGGAAGAGGCAGTGAAGCTGACTTGAGCTCAGGCTGTCTGACACCCAAGTCAATACCCTCGGGACACTAATGTTTCCTCTTTATGAAAGCCAGAATTTATGTTGGAGTGTCCCACAAATCCAAGTGGTAACTCTCACACAACGAAACAGAAAAACAAAATTAACCTTAGCAATGTAAAATCAAAAGAAGCCTATAGAGAGATACATCCTCATGCTCCAGGGATTGTCCGCAGCATGGTCTTGTCACGGCCATCAGTTGACCGCCACCGGCAAACACTGTCCTGTTACATAAGCGCAGAATTCTTGAATTTTGTAGTGTACCTCTGTTTTTGTTTTTATTTTGACCAGCAGAATATCCTAAAATTCTAGTTAAAAGTGGAGAACATTAAAGTCTGAAGTCCAAGAGTCTTTTGTTGAATAACCCTTTTCCCTCCCATCCAAGTACTTACCAGGCCTGCCTCATCTCTTAGCAAAAAGAGGCTGAAGAAGAAGACTCAAAATGTTCAGTGTTTGCCAGATTGATGAAATCCCAGACTGCAGAGTAGGAAAGTAGAAGATTTGGTGTGCACCATAGTTACTTTCTGGTTCAGTCTGTTTAACAATCGCTTGGAGCTGAGTTTGGTTAAAAAAACAAAACAAAAACCCCAAGCAGAGTGTCCGTGGCCGTGTAGCACAGCGCAGGCAGCCCAGAGTAAAGCGACTTAGAACAACCGTGTTCTGCTAGTTAGCTCTGGTAAGAGACTGTCTCAGCCACTCAGTTCTTGGAGCTTTCCCCCCTTTCTTCATCACTCCCAAGAGAGGTCGTGGGGGGACATTCAGTGCGAAAGTGTCCTTCACTCAGTGTGGGTTCCCACAAATTCCAGGGGACATTGGCAATGTCTGGAGACATTTTTGGTTGTCACCACTAGGAAGGTGAAGCAGGTGCTACTGGATCTGGTGGGTAGAAGCCGGGGATGCTGGTGAACATCCTACACAGGACAGCCCTCCCTGCAGCGAGAATTATCCACCCCAAGATGGCAGAGCCACAGCTGAGAACCCGTGCTGTAGCAGGGGACTGTAGGTATGATTTTTACCCAGGGAAGAATGTTACTCTGGTTGTTGGTTGTCACCCTTTAAGAAGGGTTGAATTACTCTGCTCTGCCCCAGGTGAGCTGCCCGAGACCATGTGAGTACCAACCTCCTGTTTAGTAGAAGCCCACAGGCAGAACTGGAAATCTTGGGGAATCTGCCAACACGTGTGAACTTAGAAGATGCTGTCGGAGAAATCTGAAAATACAACTGTCATTTGCTCTCATCATTATTGATTACTTATTAGCTCTCTTACCTCTTAGAGGATATTTCCATATATGTTCTCATTTTAGTCCCAGTTTATATGCATGGCATTCCCTGTTTATTTATTTATTTTTTTAAATTTAAGTAGGTTCCACCTCCAATGTGGGGCTTGAACTCATGACCCTGAGATCACGAGTCATGTGCTCTACTGCTCGGGCCAGCCAGGTGCCCCAGCAGTCCCTGTTTAAATACAGGGGAAACTGCAGCTCCGTAGATCCCAGATTCAGATTGATCTGCAGCTCCCTGAAGGTCTCTCTTTGCCCAGGCCCTGCCCTGGGTGATTGCACATCCTATTTACTCCTCACCATAACTGCGTGCAAAAGCTTTTATTATTCCTCATGTACAGAGTTTGGGCTCTGGCCCAAGTTTTCTCCATCAGAATCTGGTTTTATTTTGTGAACTACTTCCATGTGCTTTCTCATTCACTTCCCCACATCAGGCCCTTTCGATTACCCGGGTTAGGTATTAGCCTCCCCGTTTTGCAGATGAGGATCCCGAAGCCAGTGGTCCCCGAGCCCCGCAGTGGCTTCGGGTCTAGGCCCTGCCCCAGCACCACGACCCTCAGGTAGTTTCCAGGTTTGTGGACGGCGGGAGGGGATGCCCCAGTACACCCGGGCAACTTCAGCAGAGCTAAGGCTTTGGGCTCCCAGTTCTAGCACGTGCTCCCATCTGGGTGTCTCTCTGTAAACTCTTCGACTGCTGGCTGTACTTGCAAGACGCCAGAGTTGAACAGCCAGAGCTGTTCGGGAGCAGAGGGACTGTGAACGGACAATTGATTCTGGGAGTGCGGTTTGCTGGAGGGTTAATGGATGAAACCTGATGCTGCTAAATTGTCGGCTCCTTTAGTAGGAGCCCAGGGCAGCCTGGCTCTTCAGTGGCTCATTTGATCTCTCTGCAAATGACAGGAAGATTCTTTGTGCTCAGAAGTGCCTTCCTGCCCCTTTTGGGTTCCCCCCATCTCCAGGTCAGCCCCTGTCTCCCTAGCAAACCTGATGACACATTTTCTTACAATGTTTCCTGCTTCTTCCCCATCTTTCATCATCCCTGGCTCCAGACACATCCTGATGTGCTGAGATGGCAGGGCTGCGGTCAGGGTCCTCTGGCCAGCTGGGGTTTCAGTCACATTGATGTCTGGGTATGATTCCTTCATAGTCACGTTCTTCCTGGCCCCGGCGGGTGATGGCAGAGCAGAACACTGTTGTCCATGAGATGGGAAACAAGAGCTTGGCTTCTTGGAAAAAGTAAATAAATGTGTCTGGTCGTAAAAAACAGAGAAAAGGTATTTGGCTAGTGATGGGGGTGGGGAAGAGGTGCTCCCCCGCCCACTCAGAGAACCTCATCTTTGGGGTCTATAGACCACCTTTGGGGAAGTATCCCATTGAGAGAAAGTGAGTCAGGTCTTCGGAAGTTGCCTGACCAAAGAAGCTATTTACTTCTTGATCCCATTTGTGTATTTGTCTTTTGATATTCCCACGCATTAAACATGGCAATTTAAATAAATTTAAACTGACATTTCCCCATCGTTTAAGAAGAGCTAGTGTTCAGAATCGTAATCACTTCTTATTACATACCATTTATTTATTTATAGATTATTGTTTAAATCAACTTTTTCTAGAATGTTCTTCTTGCCCTTGGTCACTTCTATTTATGTATTCGCTGGACCCCAAAGAGCCCACAGGTGGCAGTTTTCCTCATATACAGGGATCTTAATTTGCACTGGACATGTAATCAGTTTCACTTGGGTAGGGTATCCGTTTTATAGGTCGTCCTTGATCTCCCTTCCCTGCCAGCCAGCTGGGACCCGGGTCGCTGACATTAGGGCCAATAGAGAGAGAGGTTGGGGAAAGGAACCGAGGGGTGTATGTGCCCACTGACTGTGGATTCGGGATACCCTGTAGTCACAGAGAAAAGATTTGGGCATGAGAATTTGAATGCTGGTAAGTGTAAGGCTCTGTGCGTTATTTTCCTCCCAGCTGGGCTTTCTTCGGGCGCAGAAGGACTGTGAATGCTGTTCGCATTTGCTGCACCAGTAGTGATTGAACCATTACCACCTGCTCGAGCTTCTTTGCCTTTTCACCCCCGAGCATCCACCCCTTCTAACCCTGGGGTTTCCAGACCCTTTGAGAGAGCCATGTCATTTCATTGAGAGGGGGCTGCATCTTTGGGTTGAATGTGGGGATCTAGTGAGGGGTCCTGGAGAAATGGGTTTTGAACACAAATGCCTCTGCCTGTCTTACACAGTCCCTCAGATCTTTGAAAGGCCTGGGATTTCTTGATTTGATTTACTGGATAGATATGCACCATGATGAGACCTAACTGTTGGTTCTCTAAGCTTCCTACAGCCATCAGCAAATTAGTCCTCCCTAGGCTTCGTGAGATTAGCGGTGCCATCTCAGTGTGGTAGAGAAAGAGAAGCAATTTTCAAGACCTCAGGCCACATCAGTCTGTACGAGGAAGGGAATTCAGGAGTATCTCAGTGAACTTCCTTGGTCCAAGCTCCCTTCTCCTTCCTTCAAGCCTAACCTCTGTATCCTGTTTGCAATCCTTAGAGAGTAATTTGGCTTGGTTTCTGCAGCAAGAAGCTTTTTCTGTTTGCATCAGTCTCAAGCTAGTTTATAGGAAATCGTACTTTATTTTTTTCAAAATAGCTCCCGTTAATCTCTCTCCTCCCTCCTTATGCTTAACATTTCCTTTCAGAACCTGAGCTGGCTGGAAGAGAAAGAGAAGGAAGTTGTTAGTGCCTTGCGCTACTTTAAGACCATTGTGGACAAAATGGCTATTGATAAGAAGGTGCTGGAGATGCTTCCAGGGTCAGCCAGCAAGGTGCTGGAGGCCATCTTACCCCTGGTGCAGAGTGATCCTCGAATTCAACACAGGTGAGTTGCCCTGAAGTCCTTGGCTGTGTCAGAGCAAGGGAGGCCTACGGGCATCTTGGTTTGGGGGCACTGTAAACTCAGGGCTTCTAGAAATAGGGGAGAGTGTTGGGAGGGAAAGGAGCCCCATAGCTGTGACTTGATGCTCTCCCAAGGTTGAGGTTGATGTTGCTCATGAGGCCTTGACACTGAGGGAGATCTCTCCCCTTGCTAGCGATATAGCCACAGGGTAAGTCTGTGATTGTTTCTTTGCCTTAGGTCATTGGCAATAATCACATTAAGATTTGGACACATATCTCGCACCCTTCCTTGGGTTTATTGCAGCATTAAATCTTACTAATATCTAACCTGGTAGAGACCTTGACTGCTTAGCCGATTAGGCCAAAAGAGGTAGAAAAGAATCCCATTAGAGCATGGATTAATGAGACATTTAACTGTGTCAAGCCAGGATCTCCCAGACAGCGCCTGGAGTCACTGGAAGCCAAGTATGTGGGGTGGAGTCCATCTTCGTCCCAGGGAGCTTTTGTGGGGGAATGCTTTTATGGCTAGAGTGCATTTTCCCCCTAAAGGTTGGGAGCACCTTGCCCCCATATCTATTGTTAAGTACAGAAAGGAAAGGAATATTAAATGTAATCTTAAAGTGAGAGCCTAGCAGGCGCTTCTCCTTTGAGAGGCTGTCAGTTGCCTGCTGGCTTTGTGTTTCTTTTCTCGTACCTGCTCAGGATAAACTCATCTCTGTTTTCAGTTCCTTGAGATGGTTTAACGTTCATACAGCCTCGTGAGACTGAGCTTTTATGAACCGCTTTCAGAACTTGGCAGTGAAGTGCATAGTTTTCTTCTTCTGGGAGATAGTGCAAACAGCATCTTTATTTCCAAGAAGCTCTCTGCGCTGGGACTTCCGCCCTGGAGTCTCAGCTGACCCCTGCAGACTGTGCCCTTTGGGCCAGTTGGTGGCGGAGGATAAGACAGTGGTCTGGCTGTGCCCTGCTACTGTCTTCACTTGTCCGGGCCATGCTGCTGTCCCAGAGGGGGACTGCATCTCCCTGGTGGCTAGCCCTGAGCCCAGCTCGTAGAAGGCCCAGCGTTGTTCTCCTTTGAGGGACTGTGCCTCACAGGATGCTCGGGCCAGATGTGTGGACGACTTTTTAAGCACTGTGCTCCTGCACCTCTACTCATGAGATGGCCCCTACCATGGAAGAATTAGAATCTAGTGGAAAAAATCAACTTCCCCACGTGTGGTGAGGCACTAATTTTATGGTACCGAATGGAAGCTCTTTTGGGATTTGAAGGACGGAGAGTTAGAGGAGAGCCCTATGGTCCAGTTAAACCTCCCGGAGCAGGAGATGCTGGGGCGGGGCCTGAGGGAAGGGTAGGCATTGGATTGGCCGTCGGGGCAGGGGAGAAGGAAAGCCAAGGAAGGGCCTTAGGCCGGCAGGGCACAGGGTGCTCCCAACGGGGGTGGAGAGTGTGGCCGCTCTGGGGCATGGACCGAGGGGCCGTGGGGAGTCGGGGCTCAGGCGCTGAGCCTCTCAGGAGGAGTCGAGAATGGATCAAGCCATAGCACAGTGGTTTGGGGGCATTTTTTGTCTATGGGGATGTTCTATAGCTATTTTGTAGTTGACACACTAGCAGTAAAATGTCTAGAACAATTTCCTAGAGGGAAGCAAACACGTGGATGTGGCCATAAGGCGCGATGACTCTTTCTTCTGGTAGTCCTTTGGCTAATACCACTTCCAGGACTTTTCCTCCTGAAATTCTTACAAAGCCAACTGATACTTTTCTTGGTCACCCTGGTATCTCCGCCTCGAAGTTTCCTCTTCGATTCCTTCCATCCTCTCACCCTCCCAGTGCAGTTTATAAGCTGGGAAGGTGTTTTCCTGTCTTCTGCTCGGAGCTTTCTCTGTGGGTTGGGTCCTAGCTGGGGGGCTCTTGGTCGCCCTCCCCTAGGGTGCTGGCACAGTGGAGGGCTGGCCTTAGAGCAAGCAGCTGGGCCGCTGAGTGTGAGCAGTGCGGGGAGGCTTCTCCCGCACGGTGGAAGGTCCAGAGGTGTTTGAGAACAGGACCTCCGCTTGCCTTCGGTGTTGACGGCTTCACTGCATTTCAGAAACACACCAGCCACTGGTCCAGTGGACACTGTCACAATCCAGGACCCTTCTTTCTTTCTTAATGTCTTAGCCGCCCCTGATACAGGAATATTCTGCTTCCAAGGTAATACTGTGAAGGGTGGCCACAGTTGCCGGCTTCTTCGGGTGCTTTCAGGGAAGCATTACCATTCAGTGCAGGTAGAAATTAAGTATTACAGAGAAATGTCTCCCCGCCTCCTTTTCAGCTAATCCTTGCCAGTAATTCAACAGTGTGATTGGCACTTTGGTGGAATCCCCCACGGGCGCTTTGGCAGAAGGCGGCAGTCTTTGTTCACAGAGGCCTCACCTGGCCCTGCCTGAAGGGGGGTGGTCAGGGTGCTAGCAATGCACACCCCCCCACCCCCGCAGGATGGCGCCACCTCCCCATCCGGCCCCCAGGGAAGACTGAGTTCTTGTCTCCCTCCCTTGACCCTCCTTCCCAAGAGAGTGGGTCCAACACCAAGTACTTGTCACTCCTGTTACTCGGTGAGGCAGCCAAGCCCTGGCTCTCTTGGGTCCCCTTTGGTAAACTGTTCTTGTTTCTCATGGGACTCGAGGAGTTGGCTTTCATTCTTTCAGACTGTTCTGTTTCTCCTGTTGGAACATGCACAGAGCGGAATGGCTGGCTGCATGGAAACCGTAGACGTCCTGGAAAAGTTTTTTCCTCCTTACCTGATTTTGAAGAACTTCTCACCAGAGCATTGTTTGGTTCAGGTTTTTGTTTTAAATAGGTTTGTTTTTAGAGCCTGGTTTTTTTTTAGATTTTGTTTATTTGTTTATTTGAGAGAGTGTGTAAGCACCAGGTGGGGCCGGGGGTGGGGGCGGTGGGCAGAGGAGAGAGGGAGAAGCAGGCTCCCAACTGAGCAGGGAGCCCGATGCGGGGCTCCATCCCAGGACCCTGGGATCATGACCTGAGCCGAAGGCAGACGCTTAACTGACTGAGCCACCCAGGCGCCCTTTTAGAACCTGTTTTAATCATATTTTACAATATTATATCTTTTTCTCAGAATTCTGTCTTTGGCTCCTAAATGTCTACCTCATTCTTTTTCTCCCCCCCCCTTTTTTTTTGAGTGGAAGAAGGGACATCCCCAAAATTTTCCATAATTTTGCTCTTCTTCTCTTATAATCCATAATATTTAAAATGGAAAAATAATCCTTTCCATAATTCCTAGAGAAAATTATCTCTAGTTACTTAAAAATGTGTAGGGGATCTAAAAAGTCTACGTTTGGGCCTCCCTTCCCCAGTCGCTGAGGCATCCCGAAGTCTCCAGGCCTTGCAGCTCTGCGTGTGTGGGCATCATGGTGTGCAGTCGATGTCTCCCCCGCCACAGGCCTCCTTTCCTCTCAGCTGTCATCTTGAAATGCTCTTCATTAGTGCACTGCTCCATGAAGTCAGTGCAGAGGATGATGAAGCCGAGCCCGTGTTAGAAGGACTTCTAGTGAGTTATAGATCTGTCAGAGCTCGTGTTTAGAGGCTGTTTCGCGAAAGGATCCTGCCTGCTAAAATTCTGCAAACCTGTTGGCTCCTTGTGACACATTTACCATGTTAGTCTGATCGAAAACAAGAAGTGTACGGTGCTTTGACCAATGATTAGCAGCAAGGAGGAGCGGAAGATGGGGCATTCCTTGACAGAGGCCAGAATCTTGCAGGGGGTGTGAAGTTTGAAGGAGTATAAAAACTATCATGATGGAATTTTTATATGTTCTATTTGGGAAATGAAAAAAAATTTTAGAACAAGACTAGAATATAAAGCTCTGTACAGTGTTTGTGGGATGTAAGGGCGTAGGTTCGGGGGGGTGGGGGGATGTGTTATCAGAAAGGGGGTGTGGCTCTTACAGAAAGATTGAGGAACATGCCCTCATCACCGAGAAACTGGTTCTGTACTAAACAGTTGCTTCAGGTGGTGGTCATGCTTTAGATGTTTTAACTTTCTTTACAAACTCTTCTCTTCCCCCTAGCTCAGCCCTCTCCTCCTGCTATAGCCGAGTGTACCAAAGTCTCGCCAACCTCATCCGTTGGTCTGACCAAGTGATGCTAGAAGGTGTGAACTCAGAAGATAAAGAGACAGTGACAACCGTGAAGGGGGTCATCAAGGCTGTGTTGGACGGAGTGAAGGTAGGATGCAGGCGCCAGGCAGCCTCCCTGCTGGGCGTCTGTTACACAAAACCTTGTTCGCAAACTGGACACATTAGAATGAATGTCTTCCAGCATCTCTGGTGTGGGTGCGCTGCTCTGTCCCATAGCCATTTATTTCTCTCTGGTACAAATGGCTCTCACGGCAGTAGAAGCCTTTGGAGTGCTCATCTCCATAGCTGGAAAAGCTGCCAGAAGCAATCAGCCTTTATGGAGCACGTATTAAATCTTCAGTGAGTCTTTATATTACAGCCCGGGCTGTGCATGCTTGCCGGCTAGACAAAATGCAGAGGAATGTGCACTGACTTAGCAAAATTCTCAGCAAGTCAATCTCTACCTTTTCATGTTATAAGAACTTCTGGGATTCTTGGTAGAGAAGGGGGATTGAAATGAGTAAGAAATGAAGCCGTCTGGATTGGAAATCCTTGACACAGTCTGTGACTTTACTAGCCAGGGAAGTCGGAAACAACGTGACGGGAAATTGTGAGTCATAGGTAAGGTAGGAGGCGAAGGCCATAGAGGGTCTGGAATTGGGGTCCGTGGGACAGACTCTGATTTAGAGACAGTAAGTCCTAGTGGGTGAGGAGCAAGGCAGAATATAAGCAATATAAGCAGTGGAAGTGGGTGAGGGCCTTTGGGTCAGGATTAGGGCTGTGAGCAGTGGGGAAGTAGAGACCCTGCTATTTTGTGAGGCCATATTATGTAGTGGAAAGAGGGCTAGTCGGGGACCTGGCTGGGTTTGAATCCCAAGTTCACTGCTTACTAGTCTGTGAACTTGAGCAGTTTGCTCAGTCAAAGGCTCTGTACCTTAATTAACTCATCTATAAAATGGGTATAATAATAGTGCCACATATCCTAGGGTTGTGGGAAGTATTAGTTTCTACATACAAAGCTTTTAGAACAAAGCCAGGCACATACTAAGCACTCAGACTTTAGCTGCTGTTTTTTACTAATTTTGTGGTGCTAGGTATATGCTTTAGAAAGTAATCTCTTATCTCTTGGCTTGGGGGAATTAAAAAAAAACAAAACAGCTGTGTCATCCTCCTTTCTCTACCCCCTTCAGTCCAAAACTGTAGCTGAGGTACGTAAAAAATTCCTTCTCCACTCAGCCATGCTGTCAGATTCCTAAAAGCTGTCTCCTTGGATTGCCATCCCCCGGAAGTTCTGGAGAGTAGACTAAGGACCCCCTACGTGGTAAAAACTTACAGGGGGAAGGCTAAGAAAGCATTGCTTAACGTTAACGAATTGCTCCAGAATGAATTGTGTCAATTGGGGAAGTCTTGGTGGCTCCCTGCCTCCTGCACCAGGTCAGTAGCTGCCGTGTCTGCTCAGGGCCTCGTGGAGTTCATTTAGAGGGAGGCGTGGCTGGGTGGCACCAAGTCTCCTCTGATGGCTCCAGGTTCTCTTCATTCCCCAAAATTTATTCGGTCCTATATCCTCTGTTTTCGCCAGTGAGACTTAAGCATATATATAGCCCAGAGTGGCTGTCATGCCAGACCTTTGTCACTTTCTGGATTTTGGAGTGCAGTCATACGCATTATCCCATTCGATCTTCCCTGCAGCTCTTCGAGGTCGGCAGGGCCGAATGAGACGTGACCTGGGTCCACACTTCATCAGCAGAGTGTGTAGAGTTCTGGCTCATCCCCCCCTAGCTCTTCCTGTCCAGGCTTCTGGAAATGTTGTTATTGAAAATTGTTATTCTGCAGGTGACATTGTTCAGGTTTCCTTCTGCCAGATTGTAATGAGATGTTCGAAACAAGTTAGAGTGCCCAAAACAGACGAGATGGAGTTTCTGTGTGTAGAGCTTTCTCACGTTCCCAAGCCAGTTTCCACTATGGAATCATTAAAGCACCATGGTGTCCATTGAAAGACATGTCTGAAAGAAACATTTCTCTGAGTTTTCAAATTGACCAGTGAGAGAGAGGGGGAGAGAGAGAAACTGACAGATTATGAACCCATACATGTCTGGAAACAATTTTTCCTCAGTTGTTTTTAAAATACTTGACCCAGAACGAAGACTCTCTAGGTGATGAGCTCTGTGAATTCAGTTCCATCTCATTTACTCAGGAAGCATTTATGGAGACGCACCTGTGTGCCAGATGGTGTGATGGCATTAAAACTGGTACCGTCCTGGACCCGATGCCGCTTATAATTGAAAGAGGGAAAAGGACAACAGAGTTTGTAATCTGTAATTATAACTGGGACGAGGGTTGTAAAAGAAAAATGGCACGTGGTCTTCCTTGGCTGTTTGGGTGACCTTCCTTTTTCAGGGTGGTCTGAGACTCTTCCCTGAGAGACAGGCCAAAGCCAGAGGGGTGTGCAGGAGTTGGCCTATTCTTGGAAGCTTTTAGTAGTTGGAATCAGTCCAGACACTGGGCTGTTGGGGCCTCATAGTAACAATAGCTGACACTTTTTCCCTCCTCATGCTCATAACAGCTCTGAAGGTGGGCGCAGGGAACAGGCTCAGGCAGACAGTTGTCAGGGGTAAGGTCGCGCCTTGCACCCAGGCCTGCTGGACCCCAGGCCCTGTGCTCCCCCCGTCACCCTCAGCCGCCTCCCACGTGAGGGGCCGACCGTGAGCCTGCCTCCACGCCGGCTGGCCTCCAGCTGCTCTCCCGGTGTCCCCATCAGGCTGAGCACCCCTTATAAGCCCGTGTCCTGGTGCTGTGCGAGCCTCAGTTGGCTGGGAAGGACAGGGCCCTGCAGAAGTAAAACAGATTTGTGAGGATGTCGTCATCCCACTTGTAGGAGAAATGTTGGCACGTTCCTTTAAACTGAGTCACCGTCTTTCAAGTAACTCATTCAGTTGGTAAATGGAATTCTTTTTTTTGAAAGGTTGAAGTGTTTTAAAACAGGATTACTTTGTTTAGTACCATTTATTATTTAAAGGCTTGCATAAATGTCACTTGTTAGCTCTGTAACCTTGGGCAAGTTACTTCTGTGAGTTTCAAGTAGGTCTTACAATATTTACTCTGAAGAACTGAAGAAAGATTAAGTAAGATAATATATATAAAGTACCTGGTAAGTGCGAGGTGCCCAGTAAACTGTGAGTAAGTACTATTAACCATAGAAATGTTCATACCCAGGATGGCTCACATTTAGCAATTCTTGACAGTGGTTGTGGCTCTTCTCCAGTCATCTCATGTCAAGACAGACCTGTTACTATCTGATCTGGCCCAGGCAGGTGCTCTGCTCACGGGCCCTGAAGTTCAGAGAGGACGGTGACTCCCCAAGGAAGGAATGTGAAGGCCCTAACTTTCCCGAGCACCTGGCTGTTGGGAGCCCGGCTCCTCAGGCTCCAGCGAGTAACCCGGGTTGTCCTTTTGCACCCAGCGCCCCAGCTGTCCCCACCTTTGCCATCTAAATGTCAGCCTCTCTTCTTATCTCAGTTGCACAGTCTCTCACCCACCTCCCTGGGCTCCGCTTTGCCCTCTTTGCAGACCTTCCAGGGATGTTGGTTCGCAGACCTAGAGCCTCTTCCCCTGACCTCCAGCTTCCTCCCCGGCCCCCCCCCCACACACACACCATTTACACTCACACTTTTATTTCTTAAACCTTCTCATGCAGACAGCCTTGGGGGAAAATGTGGAACACCTGCAGTTCTGTCATTTAACCATTACCACCCAAAATTGGGCTTGTGTACCATGCCAGACTCCCTTCGTATATGTTAACCTAAAAAATAAAACAGCCAGTTATTTTACCAGCAAAATGGGTTTATTTGGGAATAGCAGAGACTTGCAATTTGGGATATGCAAGCTACAGCAAAACCACAGGCAAGTCCAACAAAGAAAGGAGAGGAGCGTGGTTTTATGGAGAAGGAAGAAGAGATTGGGAGGGGCTGTCCTAAACCAAAGTCCACTGGAGAAAAGCAGGAGTTCAGGGCGAGGGTGGTTCCTCACTGGCTGAGTTGCTGGGGTCGTGGATTTCTTGTCGGAGAAGCAGCGTCCATCCTTCCCTGTTGGGTCTGTAGTCATGATTCCCTCCTGTGGCGGGGGCCTCTGCTGGGGTCTCTAAGTGATGGTTCTTCCTGGGATTGATGGCAGTGGTGTGGGTCCCCTTTCTGGCCTCCCAGCTCCACTTTAGTGATAAGGTTTCCCTTTATCAGTTTTCACTTACAACAAGAATATTTTGAAAGAAATATTTTTCTGACTGTATCAGTTAGGATTAGGTTTGACTGTAAGAAAATCCAAAATAATACTGGTTTTTAAAAGATAAAACTTTATTTCTACTTTATTTCTCCTTCATGTACGAGAAGTTCATAGATAGGCAGTCTCAGGCTAATGACATTTTCATACAGTGGTCAGGGATGTGGTCTTCTCCCCTCTTGCTTTCCTGCCATCCTTAGCACATGGATTCCACCTCATGGTCCAGAATGACTGCTCAGTCTCCATCCATCATGACTACATTCCAGCCACGAGGAGGAAGAGAGAGTAAGAGGGTGTGCCTTCTCCATTTAAGGATGCTTCCTCAAAGGCCTCACAGAACTCACATTTTATTGACCAGAATTTGGTCGCATGCCCAGCTGAAATTCTAATAAGGAAGAACAGGTAGCATGGGGCAACTAGCTGTCTCTGGCACACTGACATCTCAAATAAGCCATCTCTTTTATTCCTCGTTCAGCCTATTTTACATTTTTTGATGAAAAACTTCAAACATTTGCAAAGAAAAAAACAGTACAGTGAAGCCCCTTCAGAGAGCTTCCACAGTTGTCTGCTCACGGCCAGTGTTCTTCTGTACGTCTGCCCCCTCCCCTGCATCATGGGAAGCAAACCCCAGACGTCTGTCCTTTCATCTGTAAATGCCTTAGTGCATAGCGCTAGGACAAGGCAAGCTTTTTCTGTGAGGGGCCAGGTAGTAAATATTTGAAGCCTCTCAGGCTATTTCAGCAGGTGATTTCTGCTGCATATTGGTCTCTGTTGCATATTCTTAGTTGTTTGTTTGATTATTTTAATTTTTAAAAGATTTTATTTGAGGGGTGCCTG